ATTTGTTGTGTATGTGTGTGCCCATGCTATCAGGCTTGACAGCAAGCACCTGTACCCACTGAGCCATGTCTTGGTCTCACTCAAGTAACTTAAAATTGGGGAACATCCTGAATGTGTAAAAAATGACATATGCAGAAGAAAGGTTTTTTTATTAGAATTTTTATTTAAAAGTTATTATGTTAATATTTAATTAATTAATTAATTCTTTGAAAATTTCATACATGAATACAATTTATTTTGATCATGTCCCCAACTCCTCCCAGACCCCCTCTAACCCCTCTACCCCTCACCATGCCCTCTCTCGAAAATATATCCTATCAAATCCAATTTATGTTGTGCATATACTCATGGGTGAAGGCCACCCACTGGGGCACCGTCAGCTTACTAGGGGCCACACTCCTAGGGAAAACGGACTCTCCCTCCCAGAACCCATCAACTGTTAATGGCTCCTCAGCTAAGGTTATGGATTAGTGAGCTCCTTTTCTCTCCAAGCTAGAATGCTGACTGGCTTATAGGATATTTTTTTATGTATTCTTTGACAATTTCATACAATGAGTCATAACAATGTCCGCCTCAATTTCCATCTCCCACTCCTCCTGGGCCACCCATCATGTCTCCCTCTGACCTTCATGTCCTCTTCTTTTTTTGTGTAACTTACTGAAACCAAGTAGTACTGCCTACATCCATATAAGTGTGGAAAGAGCAAGCTGAGTGTGACCAACCTCTCCACAGCTGTCAATTGCCAGTAGCCCTTCAGCTAGGAGCTTCAGGAGTCTCTCTTTCTTCCATGCCAGAATGTTGACTGGTTTTGTGCTGTGAATTCATGAGTGCAAGAGACATCACGTCCAGCAGACAGCATTTGGGATTACCAACAGTCTTGCAAAGATGTATCTGCTTGTGCAATAATGGCATGATGGTTATGCGTACAACCAAATACTTTCTGATTGGATTTAAGGTTCACACTACAAGAAGGAACCCATATTTGGTACTGTAAGCAAAGACAAAAACTCTGTAACTAGGGAAGTCATAGACCTAGTGGGAAATTTGTTGCTTTGTTAGAAGGCTGTGATGTGCCTGTCAGATTGCCTTCTAAGCATTTGTTTATGACCATTGATTGCTGCTGCTGTTTGCCTTGGTCAGAGAAGCTACATCTTGCAGTAGATATGGTTACGGCAGAGACCCATAACCAGTCAAAGTTCCGAGACTAAGTGACTATTACAATGGAATAACAACCCAATGCTCCTCACTAAATGGCAAAAAATACAACTAATCACCACTCCTCCCCCGCCAAAAAGGCTCAAGGAATATTGAGGCAGAGGGAACCAAAAGAACGTAAAGCCAGAGGAAGAGGTGGAATGTTGTGGAACTCTCTTCTCAGCCCGACATAAACATTGCCACCTTGAAACCAGAACGATTGTAATTATCCTCACGAGATAGTCTATATTGCTATTCTCTCGTGGAGGTGGGGGGGGCTCACAGGGCGGAGCTGAGGTGCATGAAGCATCTCTTCTCTCAGAGGAAAGCTGTTTGGCTAGAGGAGGAGGAGAAGGAGGAGGGAGAGGTGGTGGTGGAGGTGTGTTAGTGATGGTGGTATAGCTGTCCACAAGTTGTTCAGGCTCCCACAAGTAACTTTTCATTCATGCTCCGCAAATAACCTCAGTTAAATAGACTGTTTCACCACGCTGTAATTGGGTGAGATTCTTTGGTCTGTCATTGGTGACGTAGCTGGGGCAAAGAGACATTTATTCACATTATCCTAGGAAATGTCACACAACAGAAATAGTTTCTGGATAGTAAAAACCTTACCAGATAGGTTAGGTGTGGTGTCGAATGTCTGTCTGTCATTCCAGATACTCAGGAAGCCGAAACAGAGGACTTCTAGAGCTTAGAAGTTAGCTAGCTTATGTAACATAGCAAGACCCCATTTCAAACAAACATATATATAAGAGAAAAAGAGCACCTAGCATGGTTAGCTTTTCCTTTTTTCCTTCCTTCCTTCCTTCCTTCCTTCCTTCCTTCCTTCCTTCCTTCCTTCCTTCCTTCCTTCCTTTCTCTTCCTCTTCCTCTTCCTCTTCCTCTTCCTCTTCCTCTTCTTCTTCTTCTTCTTTGAGACAGGATTTCTCTGTGTAGCTTTGGAGCCTTTCCTGGAACTAGCTCTGTAGCTCAGGCTGACTTCAAACTCACAGGGATCCACCTGCCTCTGCCTCCTGAGTGCTGGGATTAAAGGTGAGCGCCACCACTGCCCAGCTCTTTTTTTTTTTTTCTTATAAAGGAGTCATAATGTAATCAACATTTACAGCACACAATAACTCACAAAGGATCTTTTACTGTAAAGTAGGCATTCCAAGGTCTGTGAGCGATAATGATGTACATTAAAGAGGAGAAAACATCCCCTGGAGGTCTGTGGCTTTCCCACATTGTCCTGGCACTGAGGACAGCTTTCTGCCCACAAAGCCACATTCTTCTTTCCATACTACTTTCTGCCAACTGGTGCATGTTCTCCAAGACACACCTGAAAGTGTCTTCTTTCCTGATTGCTCTGTCTTCTATCTGGGGGTTACCGTACCTGTGCACTGTGAGTGAACTATTAGCTGTTGGCCTCAGAGAAAGTTCATCCACATGATGCTAATCAATACTGTGTAATGAATTGAATATATGAGCAATTTTCTCTCAATTCTCTCTCTGCAGGTGCCCTTCCTTGCAGTCTACGGCCTCGTAGTTGTCAACACCCTTGTCAATCTTTCTGACCTTTTCTCCACAGTCCTCACACCGTTGGTTGGCCGAGGACATGCTGATCCTATTTTCAGTGCCTGCCAGAGAAGGTTGCCATAGCACATTGGAATGACTTTCTGGACAGCCCCAGCGTCTACTGGATCCAGGAGAGGTGTTGAAAGGCTGTGACAAACGACCAACCTGGCGGACTGTACAAGCAGAGCCTAGCTTATCTGAGAGGGACTTCCCACCCTCCCATGCTCTTAAAATGACATTTGCTGTTGTGCAGACTCACTTGGGTGGGTGGGGGTGAGAGATCTTTACCTCAAATTTATTGGCAGTTACCACCACTGTGCCAAAGAAAGACTCTAAAAGGGATCCAAAGAATTAACCAAGTATCTTCCTTGTGAGGCACTATGGCAGAGAAGCTTGGAGAACCTGACCGTCGAGTGCTCTTGGATGCTCTGTCTCAGTCCAGCTTAAATAAAAGGAACTATTACTATTAGAAACAAGATGTAGACCTGTCACTATGTAGAGCAGGCTGACTTTAAGCTTATGGTGATCCTCTTGCCTCCACCTCCCAGGTATAATCATTGATCTTACTAAGGATATGGGTTTTTTTGTTGTTGTTGTTGTTGTTGTTGTTGTTTTTGTCTGCGTATTCTTTCAGCCCTCCATGCTGGCATCCTCCTGACCCTGGACCTGACAGTTCTTGGTTGCAGAACAATTCCCACTAGAGTCCCACTGATCAGAATCCCAGGCTTCTTTGGTCACTACAAGCCACAGAAATGTCTTACAACTAGTCAGCAAATCATTTGCTTCAGTCTGGTTGGCACAATGTAGGTCCCCAGGCTATCACTCCTGGGCCTGTACTGAGTATATTTTGGTCTGTTGCCTTGTGAAGAGGGTGCTGATCGGTTCAGACCTGCCCTGACCAAAATGAAGCTACTATCTCTGTGTGTCGGTTGAGCACTTGAACGGCGGCGACTGGTCTGAATCATTTGCTTTGCAAAAATGTAGTACTAAATCTCAGAAATGTAACTCTCTGTGTGTTTTGGTTTTGGTGGTATTGGGGACTAAACATACTAAACAAGTGCTCTAGTACTCTACCACTGAGATGCAGCCTCAGAATCTTTATCAACCTCAGCATCCTTAGCAGCATCCTCAGCATCCCCAGCAGTGGCCCCATCAGTGGTCTTTCCCTCCTCCTCATTATCGTCATTGCTATTTTACTTTTTGTTTTGAAACAGGGTTGTATGACTGGGCTCCTAACCCTGAAAGACCATGGACTTGTGATTTCCCCTGCTGAAGAAAATCCTTCCCAGGTGCAAGGAGTAAAAGCCTGTATCACCATGTCTTTTAAAAATGATTTTTATGTTGACAAAATGTTGAATAATTAAGTTGCTGTTCCTTTATGTGTGTATGTGGGTTTTGTTGCTGTTTGTTTTTTGAGACAGGGTTTCATGTAGTCTACATTGGCCCAAACTTGATTTTGTGTCTGGGAATGAACTTAAACTGTTGATCTTCCTGCCTCTACCACTTAAATGCTGAGGTTACTATATTATGCTTTAAATTTGTTTTGTTCGGCTTTGTTTTTCGAGACAAGGTTTCTCTGTATAGCCCTGGCTGTCCTGGAACTCATTTTGTAGACCAGGCTAGTCTTAAGCTCACAGAGATCTGCCTCCCTCTATCTTGGAGTGCTGGGATTAAGGGGGTGTGACATCACCCGAGAAGCTTTTCTTTGTTTGGTTTTTTGAGACAGGGTTTCTCTGTAGCTTTGGAGCCTGTCCTGGACTAGCTCTGTAGACCAGGCTGGCCTCAAACTCACAGAGATCCACCTGCCTCTGCCTTCCGAGTGCTGGGATTAAAGGTGTGCGCCACCACCGCCCAGCTGTTTTTTTTTTTTAATAGCATTTGTTTAATTTTACTTGCATATGTATATCTGTGTATCTGTGTTTGTATATGTGCACCCTTCTCTCTCTCTCTCTCTCTCTCTCTCTCTCTCACACACACACACACACACACA